GAGCCAATCAAGATCAAGAATTAATACGTAGATCATTCTAGAACCCGATTTCCCGATTTGGTATATTCCCTGACTGTATTAACTTTGGTCAACATAACTGAAAAATAAATGTAAAATGCTGAAATTTCACACAACTTATTATTTTAAGGTCGATTTTAAAATGTCAGTACTGTTTTTTTTTTTTGAAATTGCCTCTATGCAAATGATAATATATATTCTCTAAGAACATGTAATCGCACAGTCAATAATTGGCTAACCATATATCTTATTTACCATTATTGTACTTTGTTGAAAATGTTATGTACAACCTCAAAGTTGCACAGTATATATCTGCATCTAGAAAGTTAAATATAGAATGTATTAGCATGCAGGTACTGTAACGAATTAATTTTATAATCTTACCCTTTTTGGTGTAATTGATTATTTAACCAAATTAGTATCGTGATTGTTTGAGTCCTCGAAGGAGGCAGTGTGCATATTGACGTGAGGCTAACACGATAGCGTGGTGCCTCTGATGTCATAAAGTAGGTTCCAGAATATGTTCTCTTCCATATTAATCGAAATGTATAAAAGTGAAGCATTTATTTTAATAAACGAGAGAACCTCTTTCTCATAATAAAGTAACCGGACATAATGATATTCTCCTTAATTTCGCACCATCATTAAGTCACCCTAATAGAATTACTATGCCCTATAGAAGTCTTTTATTATGCGAAAGTTATCAACTATGGTGCATATGGTTGTTAATGGAGTGCTCCAGACTTTAATAAACATATAACCCGTTTCTGGAGCACTCCAGAAACCGGTTATATGTTTTATTAAAGTCTGGAGTACTCCATTAACAACCCTAGAACCCTAGTGGTACAATACGTTATGCATAAATATGAATTTTCTCCATTGGTTTTTGTTATCAAGCTTCGTGTAGAATGTAGCCTTCAAATTTGAAATAAAATACACTTTATTTAATAAAAGCATTTATACTCCATACAGAAATAGTTTTTCAAGAAAGAAAATAGAATTTAATCAGCTCAATCATATTATGATTTACGTGGAATTAGTTATTATATAATGTTAATATCATTTGGGAAAGACTTCACAATATTGGCTTAATTTAGCTCCAATAGTTAACTTATATAATTTATGTATCCAAGCCGTAGTAATAAAATAATCGATAGTAATTGCTTGTACACGTGGGATTATATAATTAATCTGAGACAAAGGCACTTAGTTCTATCTATTAGTAATCAATTAATTTATTCAATACAAGTTATTAGCTGTAGCAAAAAGTAAACTTCATATAAATAATTTTATGTTTTTATTGGTTATTATCTATATTACACAAAATTTACCAATCACGTGATTTTTCATAAATGCATATACTGTATAAATGCATCAGAATACTGTCCATGGATGGTATGCATTTAGACAGTATCGACTGTATATAAGAGATCAAAGTCTGGAGAAACTTTATTAAAGTCAAAAATCGTGTCTTTAAATACATGAATCATTTACATAAATTAATACACTACTCAATTGTCTAACTATCTTTAATGTCTTTATTTGTCTGGTATCTTCTATAGAACCCTTTCATCTATCATTCCTTACAATGATTACTTTGTTTCCTTCAACATTTTTATAATAAGTAAATGCGTTCTGTTCCTCAGAACAATTGAAACGATTTGGGTAACTCTATTACCATCCTCAAGTTTGCAATTCATACATGATTATAATAGTTACGGGAACCAGTAAACTAACAATGTGAACAATCCCAGGAAAAAGATTCTGCCTGGATAATGACTTTACTAATAAACGACTTTGTATCTTTAAGTTATATATGACTAAATATAGTAATAAAAGTAGAATATATATATACAGAGTACAAAATAGGAAATGGATAATCTAATAATACATTACTAAAATAAGAAGAAAAGGAAAAGAAAAATTAAGTACTGTAGTATAGTTAATAGTTTACAACAGATGATCATCATACGGTAAAGACGCAGAAAAATTTTCATATAACGATAGTAACAATCCTCTTTTTGAATATCGAACTTCTGCGAGATCAATGATAAGATACCATCCAATCATTGTCAAAGGTCAAATAGAATTTTAAATGATTTTCTGTAGACCTTCTGTTTAAGAACTTGATCATTAAAGGTTCGAAGTTTATAGCTACTGCTTCCAAAGATGTCGTAAATGTAAAAAGGCTCTTTCAACTTCTGTTCTAGTTTACCTTTATGGGTCCCTTCTAGAAAAGATTAGTAATAAAAAACTTTATCTCTAATATGGTAACTTTTGATGCTATGAAGCCAATTGAGCCGTTCCTTCTAACATTTTTGAGCTTTAATTGTTTTCTCTTGAGCCTTTATATGGGTCTGAGGTAGATTTCCTAACAAGACTTTAATTTTTCAGAGGATATTGGTTTGTAAGGCTTGTTCATCTAACAGAGGTAATTCTAGACTTAGACTGTTGACTTCGATGAGTAATAAGGCCTCCCAACCATATAGAAGATAAAACGGTTCATATCAGGTGGTGGAATGCTTAGTAGTATGATAAGTAAATAAAGCAGAAGAAATGTACTGGTCCTACTTTTCTGAGAACTGGATCAAACATTTAGCTAAGACTTCACACAGGGTTCTATTAAAACATTTGACCAAGCCGTTCGTTTAAGAATGATAATGAAAAGAAAACTTGTAATCAACTTGAAACTAAGCACAGATGGCTTCGACAAGCTTATTGGCAAAATGCTTTTCTTGATTAGATAAGAGTTCACAGAGACTTCTGTGTTGACAAATAACGTCCTCTATAAGAAACAAAGCTACCGATGAGGCAGATACATTAGGGATAGCACAAGCCTCAAGCCATTTGATAAGATATTCTGTGGCAATAGTAATATAACGATTTTCTTTTTTAATAGGGGGCAAAGAACCTACAAGATCTATTCCAATCCTATTGAAGGGCTGACCAATTTTGATAGGATACAACGGCTCTCGAGTTCAGAATTTTCCTCTATATTGATAGACATCATATGACTTGATATATTGTTTTACATCTTTGCTCATTTGTGGCTAAAAATATCTAATGAAAATTCGTTGGAGAGTTGACAGAGTATTAAAGTGTCCAGATAGAGGGTTGGAATGCATACTAAAAAGAATAGCGGTGATTTCATGAAGTAATAAGACTCTCAAGAGTCAATAGGGCAATTGGCGATATTTTTTGTAAAGTGTTTTGTTAACGATAATGAAATAATGGGTTTTATATTGTAAAGATTTTTGTTGTTAAAGTTGTAAATCATTTTGGAAGTTAGAATTACTAAAGTAATCCAAATAAGTTTGATACTGGTTAGGATCTATTAAGGAGGACAATTGTAGAAAATAAGTTGTAAGAATAAAAAATGCAAATGACAGGTATTTAATAATGTAGGAAAGGAATATGGGTAGTCAAAATTGAGAGGTTTGGATAAAATCAGCATAAGAATTTTTATTAGACTTGGACGAGTATATGAAACAATATTGATGGGCATAGTAATCGAACTGTTGATAAATATAACATGTGAAATGACAAGAAAGTTTAGATTTTGAAACCAATGAATTGATGAGTCAAAAAAAACTGTCAGCATTTGAATGATAATGATCTAGACAATGCTTAACTAAAAATTTATATTCTTGTAAGGCCAATACCCATCATGCAGAATGTTCTCTAGATAGCTGATAATATAGTAAAGACTTGAAGGCCAAGTGATCTATAATGATAGTAAAGTGAGAACCATGAAGATATTGCCAAAAATAGAAGACAGACCAAACAACGGCTAGACATTCTTGTTCGGCCACAGAATAATTTCTTTCTGCCAGGGTCATGGTTCTACTAGCATAATAGATTATCTGTTCCTTTTCTTGAGGATCCTTTTGAGAGAGAATAGATCCTAAGGCAACACCTAAAGCATTTGTAAAGAAAAGAAATTCTTGTAAAAAATTTGGATAAGCCAAGATGGGGGCTGTAACAAGTTTTTCTTTGAGAATCTTGAAAGCATTATCTTGATCCTCGCTTTATATATATTTGCCATTTTTTTTAACAGTTTGTTAAGGAGAAAGGCGACCTTCAAGAAGTCTTGGATAAAACGGTAATAGTAAGAGGCAAACCCTAGAAACTCACGCAGTTGTTGAAGATTTGTTGGTGTAGGGAAATTTTTTACAATTTCCACCTTTTTTGAATCAGTAGATATACTATCCTCATTGACTATGTATTCCAAAAATTTTAATTCATCCTTAGCAAAGTAATACTTTTTTGGGTTTAGCTTGAGACCTACACTCTGGAGTCGATCACATACTTCGGCCAAATGCTGGATGTGCTCATCAAAAGTGAAGGAGAAGACATTTATATTGTCTAGATAGACAACTACAAATTCTTCAATAATCTCTCGAAAAATCTTGTCCATCAACCTTTGGAATGTTACAGAAGCATTAGTGAAACCAAAAGGCATCACGTTGAATTCAAAGGTACCAAATTGAGATGTAAAGGCAGTCTTTTCTTTATCGTGAGGATTTATTTCGATCTGCTAATAACTACTAGCAAGATCAAGAAACATATACCAAGAAGAATGCCGAAGGATATCTAAAAGATTGTCAATTTGAAGTAGGGAATAACTGTTCTTCTTCATGATAGCACTGAGACGGCGATAGTCAATACAAAAACAGGTCTTGTTATGTTGTTTGACAAGCATGATGAGAGAAGCTCAGGGGCTGTAAGAAGGTTGGATAAGGTCATCTTGAAGCATCCAATCAATTTTTGTCTTTAGAAATTTCTATTGTTTAGAGGATATGTGATAATACCACTGCTTGACAGAAGGGGTGTTATCAGTGAAGATGGAGTGAGTGATGAGGTTAGTATGACTCAAGCCTTAAGAAGTTCATGCAAAAAGGTCATCATAGTTTGCAAGTAACTTGTCCAATTTCTTACAATCGTCTTTCTATAATTCTCTGATATTAAGTTCTTGCAATGACTTCTTTACTTGATCAAAAAAGAAGTCATAATCAAGTTTGGGTTCATCATTATCAAAATTAAAGACTTTTTTATCACTTTTTACTTCAGAATCATTGTCACTTTTCAACTTCCACTACACATCACCTGCTCCACAACTCTCAGACCGCATATTATATTCAGACACCTCAGAAGTCATACTCAACCTATTGCACAATTTGAATAACTCTTCGTTTTCATGACAAAAATAGCAAAAAATAATCTTCTCATCCTTAGAGAATCCAAAAAGATAGTTTTTGAGTTCTTTTTCTTCAAACTCGCTCTCAGTTTCTTTCTCAAACTCAGACTCTTCAGAATTATCATGTTTAATTTGTTTTACTTTGGTAACTTTAGAGAGTAATTGTCTTGGATAGATGTATGCTGGAGTTTTCTAAATTTAACTGGAATGACGATTTCTTTGTTATCCCACTAAAACATTATCTCCGAGGTGTTGTAGTCAATATTAGCATTGATTTTTGAGAGCTAATCGTTTCCTACAATTGCCTGATATGATGAAGCATCTGTGACCACCACGTCAACAGGAACCATGATGCCTTCGACTGAAAAAGGGAAATTTGAAATTTCACCAATAGCTCTCTTACTTTGTCTATAAATATTAATCATATTTACTGTAAATGGCCTTTCAACCTTGATGCTTAGTTCTCTAAACAAGTACGATGACATGATACTTCTAGAAGAACTACTATCAACAGTAAGGAGAATAATTTTGCCATGGACTATCGCATCACAGTACAAAGCCATAGACTTAGGAGTGGGATGAAGATTAGCGAAACTTCGAGCTTTCCTCTTAGAGACTTTTGTTCTATAAAGACTTTTAACCAAGTCCGTACAGAAAGAGGGAACTACCTGTAATAACTAACCCAGCGTGATATTAGCAAGCTTATCACGAATATCTGATATAATGAAGTAGTGGGAAATTAAGGCAAAAATTTGTGGTGGGTTATCTTTAGTTTTTTTCTTTCAGTTTACGATTGTCTTAACACCTCCTTTATTTACTTTCGCTCTCGACATAGATTTCTTAAGTCCTTTTTTAATATTATCAGTAGTTTTTAATTCTTCAGTATGTCTCTCTGGAACTGGTTGATCAGTACGACATCTTTTATTGAAGGCCATCTCTTCAGCATCCTCTGCAGGAAGAAACAGAGGGTTGTTATTGTCTACATGGAGATTTAAAAAAGTTTAAGTCACATTTCTTTGAGTCCAGGCGAGAGTATTATTGTTATTAGTCGCTAGAATGTTATTTTGAACACCATTATTTTGGCCAAGAGGAATGGTATTACTACCTATAGCTAGGGCTGTGAAAAAGCTTGTAGGACCCTGTTCTTGAGTCAACTACACAGAGACTTTTTAGGACCGATTCAAAGTTAACTTCGGACAAAGTCTGAATGTAGAGGTCTGCATATCTTTTGTCTTAGAAATTGATCATTTTGATTGGCTAATTTACATTGATCCACATATGATTACTTTGTGCATATTATTTCACGGGGGACTATTAACAATTAGTCTTGCAGAGGATTATTAAAAATCAGTCTTGTGGAGGGGAATTGGTCTTGCGAGAGAATTATTAAAAATTAGTCTTGTGAGAGGAACTATTAAGTTGCAGGGAGAACTATTAAATATTAGCTTGCAGAATTAGCTTGCAGAGGGACTATTAAATATTAGTATTGTGTGGAGGACTATTTGGCTTTAATTCATAGAAAACTATTAAAAATTAATTTCGCAAGTCAATAAAATTAATCATAAGAAAACCCTTAAATATTAATTTCATAAAGAGAGCTTAATTTCATAAAAGAGTTTTTAACAATTAATTTCATGGGGATTATTAATTAATTTTATATAGAAACTATTAAAATGTATATTAATTTCACAATTATAATTATTTAATTATTATTACAGATTTTTTAATAAAACTTTATATTTTTTTATTATTGTAGTAATAAATATAACAAATAAAAGACTATCGTTTTCGTCAATATTACATACTGTTTTTAAAAAAAAAAAATCTATAGCATTAAAAATCTCTAAAAATCATGTCTTGTTCTATTTCTTCTTTAGTACTCGATTTTCTAAATAAAAATGATATTAGTAATGAATCTACTAATAATCATGATTTTCTAAATAATAATGAATCTATCAATAATCATGGTTTAAAAAAATCAAAAAAAAGAAAATCACCTATTCATGATTATCTAAATATAAATAAAAACAGCACTTGCATTTGTAAAATGTGTTCTGAAAATTCTGACAACGAGCCTAGTAAATGGGGTGCAGGTACATCTTTGACAACAATCTTGCGTCATTTTGAAAGTAAGCATCCAGATTTTTATAGAAATTTTCTATGCAAAAATGCCAAAGTCACTCATATCACGTATTTAGCAACTAAAAAGGATCAAATAGAATCATTAAACTATGATCTATATCAATTAATAATTAAAAATCAGCTGGCTTTTTCAATAGTTGATGAAGAACTTTTTATTAAATTCGTTTCAAACCTTGATCCACGATATAAACTTCCTTGTCATCAAACAGTCTCCACAACAATCAAAAATAAATTCGAATCAATAAGAATAGAGATAAAAAATATACTAAAGTCTAATCTCAGTAAACTAGCACTTACCATCGACATTTGAACAGCATGTAATCAACAACAATTCTTCAGAGTTACGGTTCATTAGGTAGATGCAGTGTGGGTAATGAAGACTCTTCTTCTTGACTTTATACCCTTACATGAATCCCATACTGGTGCGTATCTTGGAGAAAAATTAGTTGAGCTTGTAGAAGATCTAGAGATAAAAGACAAAGTCCTAGGTTTTACTGACGATAATGCATCAAATAATCAAACATGTCCACATTATCTCCAAGACTATATTAACACTAATTTCATATATATAAGGTGCATCACGCATATCTTGAATCTCGCTGTAAAAGAAGGACAAAAACATTTTATTAAACAGATAAAATGGGCTCGATATATCTGTAATAAAATTAGAAACTCGCCTAATCTTTTAAAAGAAATGAAAAGGATTTTTACTATTTTTAATTGGCCGTTTCTTCATCCCGAACTTGATGTTGAGACAAGGTGGAATTCTACCTATCTTATGATGAAGCAGCTTATAGAAATTAAGGACATTATAGATCATTTAGTATTAGTTCGTTCTAATTTACAAGAAAACTACTTAGAACCTGAAGATTGGAAAGTAGTTAATGAAATGGTTCAGTTTCTTGAACCTTTTTATAAAGTGACATTGGAATTATCAAAAACATCTTTACCCTTGCATGGTCTATTACGAATAATTTTCCTAAGACTCCTAACATACCTTGACTATTATATTGAAACTACAAATATAAACATATATCATGAAGCAGCTCAAGAAATAAAAACAAAATTACTAAAATACTGGACTTATCTTTTAGAATCCTCAACTATTCTGGCTCTACTTGATCCATCTACTAAGTTTGAAACCTTCAATGAAGAAGATCACCAGTTAGCTATCGATAGTTTGAAGGTTTCTTATTCATTTCAGTTCATAGATGAAAAAACAGTAGAGCCTAAAAAGGATCTATTAGAATATTTTAAGAATCTGGAAAAGTCGAGTCAGGATAATCAAGATTCATCCAATGAATTAGTAAACTATCTTTCATTACCTTCAGAACTGTATACTGATCCATTATTATGGTGGAAATCGAAAGCTTACCAGTTTCCAAATGTAGCTTTAATAGCTGCAAACAACTTTGCACTACAAGCTACAAGTGTTCCATGTGAGCATGCTTTTTCTGTAGCCAAACATATAATAAATTTTTCAAGAAATAGTCTTCTTGAAGAATCTACAAGAGCCATTCTGTATGTAAAAAGTTGGTCTGAGACAGGTGTTTTGAAAGTAAATATAGAATAAAAATATTGTTAGTTTTTAATTAATAATATATAACTTAAAATTTAGCGATAGCAATAATGATAGAGATATAAATTATCATACGTACATACGTATTAGTAAATCATGTATTATTATATACAAGGATCGACTCAAGGACTGAGTCCTAATCACTGTTTCTGTTTGAGGAGTCTGGACAGACAGGATTGGACTTTTAACAGCCCTACCCATAGCCACATTATTCTCAGTTGCTTGAAGCAGAAGGTTGTAACAATTTTGAGCATAATAACCTACTTGTTCACACTGATTACAAGGATATTGGGTATTATTCCAATTACTACTATTTCTATGAAAGGTCTCTATAGGCTCTTGTAGCTTCATTATCATTGTGGTGATGGTTTCGGTTAGTTTAACAAGCACTTCCTCAGTTTTGGAAGGACCAACTATCAGAGAATTGATTGTAAGGGGATTGTTAAAAAAAGGGTTGGAAACCAATGAACTGGGGATGGCATAAAGAGAAATGTAAGGAATTGTCATCAAGTAAGGGTTATAATATAGAGGGATTCTGTTTAAATGAATTTTTGAATGCTTTAGCGTATTCATAAGTGGCATTTAGAATATTGGGCATAAAGGAAAAAACTGCAGTAGAGAGCTCAGGCTAAAAACTATTGATAAATATTTGGGCTTTGCAGTCCTTAAATAACGATGCCTGCCAGATTCTACACACCAAAGAAGCTCCTCGATAGAAACATGATAGGAGTCCACCTCTTCAGTGAAACCTTGTTTCCGTTGGGTTAATTGAGCAAACTATTTGCTCTTATGGGTGGGAGTTCTAAATTGGGTGATGAAGTAAGGACAAAAACTTTGTTTTTGATGAAGGAGATTATGCCAACGATCAATAGCGGATCAAATAGTCTTAACAGCAACTCACTAAATGATAGCAGTTTCTTTTAAATGAGAATAATAATGGGAATCTTGTGATTATCTTGAATCTGATTAGTTTCGAACACCTTTTCAACATCTTGCAACTACGTAATGGAGTCTTGTTCTCCACCGAAGAAGTCAGGGTAAGAGACTAGGTTGAGTTCACGATTTTGAGCAGGGAGGTTAATAGCAGAAATATTAATTTGAGGGGCAGGATTATTCTGCATTTGGAAGACAAAATTGCCTATTTGATGAGCTAAGAACATCATGAGATCATTTTCTGGTTGTTTTGAAGATGGGCAATTGTTGATTATCATCATCATTAAGATCAATGAGAAGAAGAGCT